ATTATTTCAACATTTCCCTCTGTCCCTCACATTTAAGTTTTTTTTGTTTTTTTAAAAGATTTTTTATTGGAGAATTGGGAGAGGGGAACAGTGTTGGGGGATTGGGGAAGGGGAACAGTCAAGTTTTGTCCTTCAGTCTTAGTTGTGGAGGGCGCAGCTAGCTCAGCTCCAAATCCAGTCGCCATCCAGCCGCCCCTCGGCAGCTCGCGGCCACTCAGCTCAAGGTGCCGTGTTCAATCTTAGTTGTGGGGGGAGCAGCCCACCATCCTATACGGGAGTCGAATTGGAAGCCTTGTTGTCAGGAGCATGTGCTCTCACCAGCTGAGCCATCCTGCCACCTGCTGGCAGCTCAGCAGCAGCTCAGCTTGGGCACAGCTCACTGGCCCATGTGGAAATTGAACCAGCGACCCTGTTGCTCAGAGCTAACGCTCTTAACCAATTGAGCCACTCGGCCAACCCCCCTCACATTTAAGCTTTATGTGAAATGATTAGGCTCCTCTAACATGCTGTGTTACTTTTCTGTGGGGTGCTAAAAACAGCCCTTCTCCCGTTAGGTAGGTACTCTCCTCTTAGATTCTTCAGTGTCACATTCAGCTGGCACCAGAAATGAAACTTGTACTTGTCCCCACGTCTTTCCATTTCCTCACCAGGGTCTCAGGTCGTTGGGAGGTACACTTCAGGCTGCTTTGGTGTGAGCAGTCCTGGCTGCCTTTGGCCACAGAATCTCAGGAGAACCTTCTCTTTGGGCTCCTGAAAGAACAGGGTCTCTCTGTCCCTTCTCTAAGCAAATCTCCTTGGCCCATTCTTCTTGCCTATGACGCTTGACGACTTATACACCCTTAGTGTCTGTTCAGCTCTTTTTATTGAACAGCAGATAAAGGGAAAACTCTGAAGCCAATATTTGAAACCCTACTGGTTGTAGTGGTGAGATAAGTGTGGATGGAGGGGAGACCGAGCGTTTCTTCCCCCCCCCACCCCCCCACCCCACCAGGCACACAGTGTAGCTTGGGAGACAGTGCATATACACCAGTATATTAATTTATTTAAAAAGATAATCAATGCTTGCTTTATGACGCTTCTGCTTTGTACCAGAATGTGTTCTGGGAAGCTTCCTTATTATTTTTCTTTTCTGGCTCTTAACGAAGAGTTTGTTTATGGTATTTTTTTTAAATTAGTTTCAGGTGTAGAAAACAACATAGTGAATAGACATTTATATACCTCACAAAATGATAACCCCAATAAGTACTACCCATCTGATACATAGTTATTACAGGATTAAGACTGTATTCCCTATGCTGTGTTTATCCCTATGACTATTTTTTTCAAAATTATAGTTGACACTCAATGTTATTTTATATTAGTTTCAGGTGTACAGCATAGTGGTTAGACATTTATATAATTTATGAAGTGATCCCCCCGATAAGTCTAGTACCCATCTGGCACTAGACATAGTTATTACCATATTATTGACTATATTTCCTATGCTGTACTTTACATCCCCATGACTATTTTGTAACTACAAATTTGTACTTCTTAATCCCTTCACTTTTCTCACCCAGCCTCCCAACACCCCTCCCATCTAGTAACAATGAATTTGTTCTCTGTACCTATGAGTCTGTTTCTGTTTTGTTTGTTCGTTTATTTTGTTCTTTAGATTCCACATGTAAGTGAGATCATGTGGTATTTGTCTTTCTCAGTCTGAGGAAGCTTCCTTATTAAAAGGATCAGTTTTAGTCAGCATTTTTTTCTCCAATAGGGGTACGATATTACTAGGGTGACCATATAATTTATTGTCCAAACCTTGACACTGGAGAATGATGAGGAGAATTACTAGTAATTAGGCATGTATAATAGGCGTAAACCAGAACTGTCCTAGGTAAACTGGAATGCATTCGCCTTAATTAAAACCAGAGATAAACAGGAGTCAAGCACCCAATCATAGCCTTAATCAGAATGACATAGGAAGTGACCCAACAAATCTAAATCTGTAATTTAAATAAAATGTGAAGTAGTACTCTAAGTCCCATAAAATGGGCAAAATAAGCTATATATAGTTAATTAAAAATAGGACCTGGGTTACAATAAAGTGTTTGTCTAGCATATAAAATATGATTTTACTATAGCATAAATTTATCTTATATAAAACTAATACAATGCTTACTGTCATGAAGATTAATCAAATTCCTAATTAAAAGTAGTTTACTTGTCTTCTTTGATTTTAGCAGATTTTTTTGTTGTTGTTTTTTAGCTGAGCCATCCTGCCACCTGTTGGCAGCTCAGCTTGGACTGGGAATCAAACCAGTGACCCTGTTGCTCAGAGCTCACACTCTTGAGCGAGCTCTTAACCAACTGAGCCACTTGGCCGGCCCGTTTAGTGGCTTTTTTATACAGTGAGTTAAAGATATGATATCTTTAAAAGGCAGGCTGTACAGGGAAATTTGAATGCTTTTCCTTTTTCTTCATGAATTTATCAGAGATAGTGACTGTACAGTTTTTTCCATTTTCATCCATCTGTTCATTCATATAGCCATCTATCAAGATGACAACTATTTATTGAGTAGCTACTGTGTGCTGAGCCCTGTACAGTGGGAATACAATCACCAAAACCTTATAGTTCCTTTTTTTGGTATCTGTTTGTCTTTCTCTGTTTCAGCTGTCTTTGTTTTTCATCGCCCTTTGTTGCTCTTTCCCATTGTCTTTGAAGCAAACTCTTGTGGGTTTAGGTCCCTCGGTTTCTGTATTTGGCAAGGGATTTAACTATTCAGTCAGATGTTATAAAAGTCTTAATAGAACAAGACAAATATGCATCTGTGACCCATTTCCTAAAAAAAAAAAAAAAAAAAAAAAANAAAAAAAAAAAAAAAAAAAAAAAAGTACACTTCAGGAAAAGAAATTCCAAGTTAACAATAGGGAGAGTGGAGTTAAATGCAAGTTTCCAGCAAGCAGTAGTATTATAATTCTAGTGAAACGTCCACTTAGTTTATGAGCTTGCACTTAATTCCTGCCAATATCCCTTTACTCCTCTTCAAGAGGAGCACAGGTGATTATAACTAAGTGGATTTGCTATCCAAGACTACTGTGTTTCCCCGAAAATAAGACCAGGTCTTAAATTAATTTTTGCTCCAACAATCTACATTTATTCATTTATTCATGTACAAAAATCTACATTCAGTCATGTCTGGCTGACGATCTTAACTGGGGCTTATATTTGGGGTAGGGCTTATATTACGAGCATCCTGAAAAATCACGCTAGGGCTTATTTTCTGGTTAGGTCTTATTTTCGGGAAAACACGGTAGCATTCAGGGAAGGAAAGTTGTTAAGTAGGGCTGGAAATGTGAATGCGAGTTAGGGAATGGTGGTGGTTGGGTAGTCATTGGTTAACAGCAAGAAAATTTGGCTCAAAAAGTAAGCAAGAATCTCATAAGGCATGGATCTTGGACTTTATCCTGAAGACAAAGGAAGTCTTTAATGGTTTTTAGTTTGTTTGTTTTTAATCAAGGGATTGATGTGTCCTATTTACCTGTTAAGAATCCTGTTTACCTATCAGGAAGGCAGTTTGGAAGGGAGAAAACGATGAATGCTGATAGAGCAGTGAAGGCTTTAGAAATCCAGTGGGTAGTGACCTGGACTAGGAGATGGAGAGAAGTGTATGGATTCCCATAACTAGCAGATTTAGTGATAGAACCTAGGTGCCAGGGGTTACACATTATTCCTAGGTTTCTCTTATTTGGGTGTCTGGAGAACTTGGGTGCCATTTATGGAAATGGCCAGCGGGGAAACACAGGCTGTTAAGCAGATGGTCACTTAAGCCTGTGGGTGCAATCAAAGTTGATATCAATCTTCTAGAAATAATCAGAGTAGCATCTGACATTTGGATTCCCTCACTGAGGGCTTTGGTTGTGAGGATTTGGAGAAGGGACATTTATCACAGCTGATTGTTATAATTCATTTCCTTTGCTTTTTTGACATCAAGAGTGACCTTGCAAAGAAAGAGAAAGCACAAAAGACAGCCTGAAGTGTGTGTGTGTGTGTGTGTGTGTGTGTGTGTGTGTGTGTGTTGGGTGGATGTTTCATTGTATTGGTTCATAAGCCTCTGGCCTCTCACCCCACTGGCAGAAAGGCCGAATGCAGGAGGGGTAAGCTAGCTAAAGTCGCACAGCGCCCTCATTAAGAGAGATCTAAGGTCAGGTTTCCTAGATTCCAGTTCTGGTTCAACTCCTTCATCTCAGACACGTTACTTCATCTCTTTGTGTCTGCTAGTTTCTTCATCTGCAAAATGGAGGTGATAATAGTACCGGCCTCATTTTAAGGTCTGACGTAAGTCATTGTGTGTAAAAGACGTGGGATGCGTTACTACATTTGCAATGTGTAGAACAGTGGGTGGCACTATCATTAGAAAAGGTTTTCTTTAAGCACGTGGAATGAGCAAAGCTGCAGATAATGGGCACGGTTTTAATAAGTGGGAGGACTGATGGAATTACACTGTCATGACCGTTTTGTCCTGTTATCTATGATTTTTGACCCTTTTGATAATACACGTCATATAGGTTGGGGTGTTGTGATTTGTTCCTCCCACTAAGAGTTTATTGTCATAGTAGTAACAGTTGCAGTAATGAAAATGTTGTGAATAGCTAATACGTAATGTCTACATTGGCTTTATGAGGTGTAGATACTTCATCGACCTGGTTTTACAGTTGAGGAGACTGGCTATTAGGTTAAGTCGCCGATCAAGGCCATGGGCTAGTGAGTGCTGGAGCTGGGATGGAGTCCAGCCAGTATAACTTGAGAGCCTGAATTTTTTAGCCACTACTCTGTATTGCCCCGGCAGAGTGTGTTTAAATAGCCCCTGTTTCCTCAACAACTCCCTCACTAAAGAACAGAAAGTACTTTATTTTCATGAAAGGTGATAGGTTGTTATCTTGAGTCTCAGGCTCTGAGGCTTCAGGTCTGGGTAGTGTAAGATGTCATTAATCTTTTTTTTTTTCCATTTCTCTTTTAGATATCAGTTTTTCTTGCAGGTGAAGCAAGATGTCCTTCAGGGCCGGCTGCCCTGCCCTGTCAACATTGCCGCTCAGCTGGGAGCATATGCCATCCAGTGTAGGTGCCACTTAAGTACACTTGCTTCAGATGTGTGAGGGAAATATGTGAATTTTTCTTTTTAAGCAGGTATCTGTGCTAACATATTTCTTATCAAATGAAATTTTGCTAATAAAAAACCTTGAATTTAGTCAGAATTCAAGTTTTTATTAGGGCCCCTTCAGAAGAGGTACAAATGAAGCCGCTTATAATATTCCTTGTAGTAAGTCACATGCAGTTGGAGTCACAGAAATAGCATTGATTCTTGATTAAGTGGAGGGTCCGAAAATCCTTTCTACTCTACATTCCACCTGACTTCATTGATTTCCCTGAGGCTGTTATGTCTCAGAGATCACATTGCTTCCAGGCAGCTGAGGTGAAGATGCCATGTGGTCAGGTGCCAACGCCAGCTCACTTGCTGTGCCTCAGCTCTTGGCATCAATATGGCGGCCATGTGGGGCAGTTCCAGGTTGCATTGTCATTTTGGAGGCTGAACTGGGGCGGGGGGGGGGGGGGGGGGAGGGGATAGTGACACAGCATGTCCCTTGCCTTTCTGACACTTGGAGGTCAGAAACCGTCTAGGAAAAGTATTGTAGGAAAAATGTCCCATCGATAAACTGGGTTGGGCTTGGAAGGTGGATTAATTAGAGAGAAGAATTTTTATAAGCATAATATAGTGAGCTTTCTGGTTTTATTTTGCTTCTTTGTGTTAACTGTGATGGGGTGGTGTGCAGCATCATATTATATGACCATTATTTGGGACAAATACCTCTTGAATCACATACTCTATTTCTTGGTGTCATTGTCTGAGAGGATCTGTTGGGGGTCATGGTTGTTTTTCACGTCTAGAATTTTCAATATATGTACTCTAAATTCTGCTTACAGAATTTTTTTCCATATAAGCTGATAAGAATAATTGAAATGAAAATGGTGATAATTATAGTCTTTCAGAAAGTAAAAATACAGAACTTATGTTTTTATTAGATTTTGTTTATACCATTCATATATGCTCCTCAGAGTTGTTTTTTACTAAAATTATTTAGTTATGTTATATAGGAATGTATTAATAAGGCATTTGAAGAAAATGTTCCAGCATGATATTTTTATTCCTATATTTTTAGGAATATTTTCCTAAAATGGAAAAAATGACAATTTTTTTTTCTTTTTTAGCTGAACTTGGAGATTATGATCCATATAAGCATACTACAGGATATGTGTCAGAGTATCGGTTTGTTCCTGATCAGAAGGAAGAGCTTGAAGAAGCCATAGAAAGAATTCATAAAACTCTAATGTAAGAGTCACATTTTATTAATTATAATCAATATGCTGTACATTAGATCCCCAGAATGTCATCTTATAACTCGAAGTTTATACCCTCTGACCAATATCTCCTCCATACAGCCCAACCTGGTAACCAGCCCCTGGTAATCACCATTCCAGGGTCTGTTTCTATAAGGTTAGCTTTTTTAGATTCCATATATGAGTGATATCATATGACATTTGTCTTTTTCTGATTTATTTCACTTAGCGTAATGCCCTCAAGGTCCATCCATATACTTGAAAGTAGCTAAGAGAGTAGATCTTAAATGTTCTCACCACAAAAAAGAAATGGTAATTATGTGACATGATGGAGGTGTTGGCTAAACTCTGGTGGTAATCATTTTGCAATATATAAATGTATCAAATTATCACATTGTACACCTTAAACTTATACAAGATTGTATGTCAATTATATCTCAAGAAAGCTGGAAAAAAATAATATTTAATATTACATCAACCACCATCCTTTGCTATTGGCAGGCTTAAGAAAAGGTGCTAGAATGATAAATTCTTCACCTTTGCCTGAAACATTCTAGCATTCTTTTTCTTTTCAAAGTTTTAACTGCTTATACCACTAAAATGCTCATAGAAACCCCAAACGATTTATAAAGTATAAAGGAAAGAGTAAATCCTGATACCTAAAGTCAAGCTATTTTTGGCCTTTCAGACCTCTCTCTGCATAATTTCCCGTAGAGAAGATCTATCACGTATAGATTTATGTATGTATGATTTTACTTAAATGGAATCGTTCTGTACATACTATGTTTTGCAGTCTATTTTTTCAGTTACCAGTACCTTGTGAAATTTACCTTTTTAACTTTAAGTATATTGTATCACCACAAAAGCAGCCCTCATGTATTCAGGATTTGCTATGTTGTAACTTTGTAAATTCTTCATAGTTATAAGCAAAATCCTATTCAGTCTATAGCAATGAATCTGGAAATCATGATGACACCAGTGTGGAGCCTCACAGGGTATTATGTTAACACCACATGTACTTCTGAGCGTATACCCGCCCCCTAGTAGGATTTTCAATTAATGGCCTGCAGCATTGGAGTTATAATTTAATTATAGTTATTTTGGTTAAATCCTCCATACTGATTAACGTTGCTTTATTGTCTCTTATGTAACAGTCCCTCTTGAATTTGCTTGGTTTTCGATCTATTATAGTTAAGAAAAAAAAAGGTAGAATTAATATGGTCAACAAAAAATGTTTGCCTAAAGGATCTATTATTTCAGTGAGTAGCAGCAGAAGTCAGTTCCTGAATTGCAATCAGAGAAGCTAGGCTCTCCATCTTGTATTAGCATTCACCAGGATGCTCTCCAGGCTGATTAGAGAGCCCTTCATGTTAAGGTTTCGCTGAAGTGGATGCTAAGAGAGTGCTTGTTATAACGTTAGGAAGGGCAGTGTATTTGGCACATTTGAGAATACTAATTTTACTAGGGGTTTCAAAGTACAGTTATATTTTTGAAATTATCAAGGAGTTTTGGGTAAAAGGCCTTTTACATGTTTTATGTGATGGTGTTGACAGTGTGACTGTTATTTCTAAGAGAATAAAACTTGATCAAGGTTTGGTAGCTTTCTTGGGTCTAATGTGCGATAAACATTCTTCATAGATTTCAAAAGTGTGGTTGATTACTGGGTTTTTCAGGGTCCTATGGCTGAAACATAAGAAGGCATCAAAGCAGGATTTCTTAATTTAAAAAAATTCATAGCTCCTTTTGTTAACCATTAGAAATCTCTCTTCCTTTCTCTCTTACACACACACACACACACACACACACATACACCCACACCCATACTCACCCATGGAGGTTCCTGGCACATGCACACCCTCATTGGGAATGAATGCTATGTTCTGTATATTATCACCAATGAAGATTTTGGATAGATTTCTATACTCCATTAAGACAATGACAATTTTTTTTTTTAACTTCTAAATACTAACTCATGTATTTTCAAACTACTGTGCTCAGGAGACGCTGATGCGACCTTGGTTGGGTGGTGGGAGCCCATTCCCTTCATTACCCACCACTGCTGTCACACCTTTTCCTCTGTGAGAGAGCTGCTGGTGCATGAAGATATTTTTCTCTTTGTCCAGGGTGCGCTTTTTAAATGTGAGTGCTTATGTTCTTAATAATCTCTTTGAGGATTTCTGAAACTGAGAACATTTAATATATGCTCAGACATTGGGATTGGCTCTAATGAGCAAAAATAGATTCGGTAAAAGAAATTCACTTAATACCAGTATCACCTCAGAGTATAAAACTTTGTCATCAAGAAGGCAAGGGGCTCCGTGAAATACAAAGACTTTATGTTTGCATTAGCACAAAGGATTACTTATTTTTTCAGTGGGCGTAGTGAAGATGCTTTCTGTTCCCTGGGAGTGCAGTAACTTTCAGTAAAGGAAGGCTCTTTGTTTCTGTGCTGGATGTAGGGGTCAGGCACCTTCGGAAGCAGAGCTGAATTACTTGAGGATCGCCAAATCCCTGGAGATGTATGGCGTTGACCTCCATCCCGTCTATGTGAGTAACATTTAATTAACACAAAGCATTTTCAGCTGATGACATTTTTCTTAGTGTCACTGAAACTCCCAAAGGAAAGCTGCAGTCCTGTTGTTTAGTGAGCAGATGATACTTTTTCATCTGCTTTTCGAACCCAGTGAATCCCTTGCATGGATTAAACCCTAATGAGTTTTGCATAAAAGTCTGTGATTATATTTCCATGTGTAGAAAACAATTCACTGGGCTTGAAAACACAATCTGGATAACAGCTCCAGAGGGCTTAGCTAAACGTCAAAGCAATTTAAAATCGGTCTATAATTGATTGTATTTAGGCAGAAAACAGGAGGATTTTCCAAAAATAGATTTTGTGGCTGAAAAACATTCATAAAATCATTTGCCAGGTAAAGTATGTTTTAGACAACAGTACAGGTTCAGCTATTGGTAGTTCTATGTTGGATCTGCAGTATCTGTCAATATTATGGGTACTTCCGATTATCGTTCTTGCCACAGTATTAATAGAAATGTTTTTTTCAGATTTTCTTCAGTGGCTGATGGAAATTTGTTGAATATAGCGCTTGAGCAATAATACTGAATCTGTGTTGAGTGTTCTGGATCTAGGTCTTAACCTTTGAGCCACTTCTCTAAGGTTACTAGTTGATTATTCTATGCCAGTGAGATTGAAATATCATTGCCTTTGATTTTTTGCGTGTAGTTAGCAAGAGTCAGATTTGATTATTTGAAAAAACGAGCCAGGTACCTTATTCTTTACATGAAATGAGTTGCTAAAGATTATGTATAGACAGAGTGTTTGTCAATTGAATTATGGAACTCAATTTTTAAGGAACGCTGGTAAAACTTACTATAATGCAAAATAACTTAATCATGTATTCATTTTGTAATCTGTCTTATGCTCATCAGCGTTTCCTAAACCAAGAAGTCATATTGTTTATAAAGAGTTAGATGCACCCCTAGGTATACCATTAATATGGCAGTAAAAAAGTTACACATTTGGGGAAACAGTAGTTCCCTGATATATTAGATTTTTATCTCATTAGAACATTGAATGCTCTATACTACTGTCCTTTACGAACACTTCTAAAACTTTGTGGGATAGTTATCTTTTTCCCTTTTAGCCACATTAATCTTGTTAGATTTTCAGTTCTTTTAAAAGTATGCATTTTATATGAAATGTATAAAAAGAGAGTCTTCTGCAAAACGTTTCTGCAATGTTTATCCTAATTCACCAACCCTTTTCTGTGGACCATGGGAATTCATGGTAAATGAAATAGATTCACTTGAATCTTCCATACGAGGCCATTCCTTTCAGGTGGAATTTTTAGAACTGAAAGCGGGCAACAGCTAGAATTCTTCCAAAACTTATTAGTTGTCTTATGTTCCTTGGGAATATGACTTTGCAGCCTGAGTATTTATACTCTACTGACCTTAGAGTAGAAATAAGAGAAACTTAAATACACAGTTCTGTGCATGTCCTCGGTGCCCACTCTGTAACTTCATTTCAAAATCCCATGTTCTTAATTGAGATGTATCATTGCTTGGAAGTTAAGTATCTCCAGTCTTTCCCAGAAGAGATGGTATTTTTAAATTTTTGAGCAGTCTTAAAACCACAAATGGAAGTAGGAAGGAGCAGGAGAGAGACTTCAGGAAATCCATATGTATGCCTGCAGGTGGCTGCCTGAGCTTTCTGGAGACAGCGTTGATGAACCAGGTCTCATGATTGTCCACATCAGAGAGTAAGATTAAGATGAGCCCTTGGAAGAGACCCTTGATAGATAGTCTCCATCCTTGGCTGTACAGGAGAATGGCCAAATGATCTGGAGCATTTACTGGGAAACAGCCATGGTCATTGGTTACACATTGCTTTCATGCTACAATGGCATAGTTGACTCTTTTAGGGAGGGTGCAGCTCACAGTGGCCCATGCAGGGATTGAACCAGCAACCTTGGTGTTATCAGCACCACACTCTAAACAACTGAGCTAACAGGTCACCCACAGGCATTAGCATTTTAAGTTGCATGGGTGATTTCAGTTAATGTGTAGAGAGGGGTGAACATCACGTGGGTGAGTGGATCAATGGCCTGACTGGTAGTCCAGGTTCTTGTAATAAACTGAAGTTACAAGCATATATGAATGTACTAAGAAAATTTTCTTGAAAACTTTCAAAAAAAATAAGCAGCGAGTTAGCTACCATCATTGCATAGCTGGCTTTCTAAACTCATGTATTTAAAAAACTAGATCCACTATTAATGCAATAAATTATGTTTGTTTAACCAAATTGCCAGTTGCAGTTTAACCAAGAGCATTTATGTGAATTAATCCATAGTTATAGGCATATGTTTGCTTTTGCAGGGAGAAAACAAATCCGAGTATTTCTTAGGATTAACTCCAGTTGGTGTTGTTGTCTATAAGAATAAAAAGCAAGTGGGGAAGTATTTCTGGTAAGTATAAGTTGAAGGCAGAGTAGGTATTCAAGTTATACACTGTACATATTGGGTTTATGGGACTTGTGTGTCAGGGAAAATGTTGGGAAAAGAAAACAAGTGCATTTTCCAGTGGTTGATAAATATGAGTGACATTGGGTCTAAGGATTCTCCCAGTGCATCTCAGAAAATATCTTCTCTGTAAATTTCTGGTACCATGACTCTGGGCTCTTGTCCATGGGAGGTGTGTGTAGTAGGGCTTCCTACCCGTTCCAGTGCGTGCTGGTGGGTTGTGGACCCAGGTCTACTCTGGGCTCTCACTCTAACTGGGGAAGGACCTGAGAGACTGCAAGTCCTATGGCACTTCCTTGTGCCTGGGAAAGAAGCACTGTCAGGGCCTCCGGGGTTCCAAGCTGGTCTACATTTACGGGAGGAGTACAGGAGAAGGAGAAGGGAGTTCTGTTTAGGCAGGTGTCCAAAGCAGAGGGTGTACGGGGGACTCTGCAGTTACTGCCGCAGTTTGTAAAGGAGCCAGGATGAAGCAGTCTTTGTCCACTGGGTCCTTCTCTGAATTTCTGAAAGGTTAATCCTTCAAAACAGCAACACCACCACCATCTGCTTTGTTTTTCTTTTCAGGCCTCGGATTACAAAGGTGCACTTCAAGGAGACCCAGTTTGAACTCAGAGTACTGGGAAAAGATGTAAGTTTTTGTTTAGCACTTAGCTTAACTGAGAAACGGGGAGTCTTGTCTCCTTGCTGATAACTTAAAAGACGTTGTGAAGTACAACGTTCATGTTTTCTTTGTTGCAACCACACGGAACCTGATGAATTGACTTGCGCACATAACTTCTTAAGGAAGGGACAGGGCAGTGCATAGAAATGAATGAGTTGCTAATGAGGGTGTGTCATTTCAGTTTTAGCAAAGGGAACTGCACCTTTCTAGGGCAGAGGAAACAATAGCCAGCGATTGTTGTTATTAGTATAATTTGCTCTTCAATACTGATTGTGAAGGTAGGATTCATACAATCTGTATGCAGCCTGCACACAGAATAAAAAGTGTCCTCACTTTGTCTCAAAGCAAATGAAACAACATGGAGGGAGTCACATTTCTGCTCTTTCCTTACTTAGAGAAACCAGATGGGAAATCCTGGATGCTTTCAAGGGAGAATGAAGGGAAGGCAAGAGTGCAAATATGCTGACCTTCACCCTGAAACTTGGCAGTGTCTGCCAGGGTTGTTTGGGGAAGGGGCGCAGGATTCGTCAGAGCCTGGGGGTGCTTTCGTGCCTTGACAGGTAGCTTTTAGGAAACTGGGCAGAGGAATGCAAGGATGTGAAACCTTCCTTTTAAGCTACCTGTGAAAATAGTACTCCCCTGAAGTGCGATGGCTGTCATCCATATTTATGGGGTAAATGAGTGAAAATAGGATTTGGCAGAATCCACCCTTCTGTCTCTATGATTCTTACTAACATAATATAGGACGAAACCCCAAGTGAATGGCATTGAATGGATGAAGTATTTTTTTTGTAAAAAAAAAAGAGGTAAATAAGATCTGTGTGTACGCATCAACAAGTGGAAACACAGGAACAGTGGCTGCAACTGTAGCTGAACCTGGCATCTGGCCCAGTGGTTCATGGGTGGCAGGTACTGTTAAATACCCGTTGAGTGATCAATGAACTGATTTACTGAGATTGGGGACTGCCAGTTCCCCATACCTGATACCACTATGGTTCTTCTTCTAGAAAAAATACAGGGCTCCCTCCCTGAACTGTGTGACATGCCGCCATTTATTGATAAAATTAATATTGGATTTTGAAATGCGTTTTAACTTGTAATGAGGGAGCAATTCCAGATTTTTCAAGGAATGATAGTCCAAAACCTCAGCGTAGTTCTTCACAGCCTAGTTTGAAGGAAATCCAGCTTTGTTTTTCCAACACCTAATTGGACACAACAAGCTAAAAATATGTGCTTAAAAAACAACAAGCTAAAAACAAGAAGCTAAAAAATGTGATTAAATTAAAATCATCCGAAAAGTAGAATAACTAATTACATGGAAGGGATATACAGTTTTCTCCCCATTCTGCCACTGGTTTCACATTACTTAATAATGCAAGGTGTAAGGTTTGTTCAACACATTGAAAATAATGTTTCAAGTTTTTAATAAGAATATGCTAATACAGTGATAAGACTTTTCATGGAAGAATTGCTATTATTCAAAGTCATGTTCCCCTTATAGCTAAGTTATTTTTGTGAGTGAGGACCTTTGGTGGATTACTTTGGTGTTATTATTATAGTGCCTTAAAATGTCTTCTCCTGCTTTGGGATAAGTATTTGGTAAAGTCCCAGCTAATTTGAATTTTTAGCTTCTTAGATTTCTTCATGATTGGGTGAAAACAACAACAACAAAATTGATATTATCATGTTTTGTTTTGAATGGTGGTCTCCATGGTATGACCTGGTTTCTTACACACTCAGCTCAGTGCAAGTTCCTTCTGCAGCATTGAGGAGAAACGGATGTTTGAGTGCAGCCTGAGGCACTGAGCACTCCTGGTTCTTAAGCCTTGTGTCAGTGATCTTTAGTAAGGTGACAGCGCAGGCCACATAGCTCAGGTTGAGTCAAAGGAATAAAAAAAAAAAAAAATTAAATAGCACATTAATTTAAGAAAAGCAGTTTGTTTCCTGAGCGTTCTTGCTTTGTGGAGTCTTTCTTCTTTCTCTATCAGGGTACCTCTCTGTGAGACAGTGATTTCCATAATGGTGGAATTAAGTTGATTATCCTGAAGGCCTAACTGTAATCATAGATTAAATGGAAAAGTCCCCGGAAATCTATCACCTGGAACAGTAATCACAGTCAGCTTGAAAAATGGTTGAAATGCTTATTCTGCTGGTTTTCTGGTTGGCTGGTCCGGTCAGAGAGAGTTAATGTGGTATGTTCAGTGCTGTTAGGGCCAAATCCAGAGATTCAGTTCCCTAAAGAACAACAAAGTCCCACAGATAAAACATTTTCCTGGTGGCACACTATGCCGCTAACGGTGTCCAATTCCACTTTTTAATGGTGTGTCCAACATAACACATTAACACATCAATAAAGACTGATAACATATTAACATGTCCTGTTTATTCATTATTTCTTTACCTCTACAGATAACAATCTCATCTTTCTTAGATATAACCCTAAAGAATTCGGTGATTCATTTTTGAGAGAGGAATAAATAGTTGTCTGCAATGAAATACTAGTTTTTAAAAATTTATGTCTCTGGCAGATTCAGAAGCTAATTATCATAATACTTTTCTGTGTTATTTAAGCTTCAAAATAGGTACTGTGGTTTAAATAATACCTCACAGAAAATCAGATGAAATCAGACACGTTCAAGGTGGTGTGGCTGTAGACAGAAAACTTTTAGTAAAAAGATCTTATGTAATGATTGTAGAAAATCTGGGAATTTTCTATAAAGAAGAAAATTAAAAGTACCTATTAATGTAAAATTCAGAGGTAATGATTATTATTTCGGTACAATCCCTTTCAGATTTTGCCCCATTACAATGAATATATATGCATATATACATGTATGTACATCATCCCCATGTGGTTTTGTACACAGGTTTTATAATTAATATCATGTTAGAAGCATTTTTCCTTTTATTATATTTATCCATTATGTGCCTACACAGTGTTTGATGATGTTTTACTTCTATATTTATGTGTTTTACTTTTTCTTCTTAGTATTGTGGATCATTTTCCTTTTCCTATTATATCTTATAACTGTTTTTTGCTGGTAGAAGTGAAAGCTATGGAATTTTGTGTTTATCTCAAATCTGGCCATTTTGCTGAATTCTTATGTTCTAGTCAAGAATTCTTCATGTAATTCTCATAAATTTGTATAGTATATATCATTCGCAAATAAAAATACTGTAGTCCCTCATTTCTGTTATTTACGTTTTGTATTTTATAGTGTTGGTCAGAACTTCTAGATGAGTGGTAAGTGATCTAGCAGTATAAGGTGCTCTTGACTGGTTCCTGATTTTAATTAAAATGCCACTGTTGTTCTGCCTCTTATGTATTAGCTCTTGGTTTTAAGAATATGTGTTTATTATCACAGGTTTACATTTTTTTAAAGTCTGATAGCAAATGGTTGATTTTCACTGAATGCCTTGAGCACAAACATTGTTGCTTGTTAAACAACTAATGCTTATTTCAAAAATCCAGGTGAGAAATGATAGTGGCTTGGACCAGGGTGGTAACCTTCCAAGTACTGAGAAGGTGTTGGATTTAGCCGTATGGTTTCATGGATGTGTGGAGGTATGAGATAGCAGAGTCCTGGTGACTTAAAAGTGTTGAGCTAGAGGGCCGGCCGAGTGGCGCGATGGTTAAGAACTCGCTTGGGATGCCAGAGAGCCCCGGTTCGGATCCCACATATGAGGGCCAGTGACACTGCCCTCTGCAGCTAAGATGCTGAACAACAGCTCAACCTGGAGCTGGGCTGCCGTGGGTCGCCGGCGACGGCGTGGGCTGCAGCCCCTATGGCAGTGGGTTGCCATGGGCTACCGTCTGTAGCCAGCAGCCAGCGTGAGCGGCCAGCAGCCAGCGTGAGCGGCCAGCAGCCACAGTGAGCGGCCGTCCAGAAGCCGGCGACTGATCTGCCTCGCCCGGGAAGAGCGCAATGATGGTGCCAACTTGGGCCAGTGAAGCAACGTCCTCCACAACTAGACTGAAGAACAAAAACGACAGCAACTTGTCTGTTCCCCTTCCCCCAATTCCCCAGCACTGTTCCCATCCCCCCAATTCCCCAATTAAAAAAAAAATCTTAAAAAAAAAAAAAGTGTTGAGCTAGAAAAGCAGGAAGAATGGAGCTGCCATCAAGTGAGTGGGGAATGCTGTGATTTGGAAGATCGGGAATCCCATTTTTTTTTAAAGATTTTTATTGGGGAATTGGGGGGATGGGAACAGTGCTGGGGAATTGGGGGAAAGGGAACAGACAAGTTGCTGTCCTTTTATGTTCTTCAGTCTAGTTGTGGAGGACGTTGCTTCACTGGCCCAAGTTGGCACCATCATTGCGCTCTTCCCGGGCGAGGCAGATCAGTCGCCGGCTTCTGCACGGCCGCTCACTGCGGCTGCTGGCTGCTCACGCTGGCTGCTCACGCTGGCTGCTGGCTACATACGGTAGCCCATGGCAACCCACTGCCACAGGGGCTGCAGCTTACGCTGTCGCTGGCGACTCACGGCAGCCCAGCTCCAGGTTGAGCTGTTGTTCAGCATCTTAGCTGTGGAGGGCAGTATCATTGGCCCTCATGTGGGATCCGAACCGGGGCCCTCTGGCATCCCAAGCGAGTTCTTAACCATCGTGCCACTCGGCAGGCCCGGGAATCCCATTTTTAATATGTTGAGTTTGAGATGTTTGTTAGACATCTAAGTGGAGACATTTAATAAGTGAGCTGTATGAGTCTGGAACTTGGGACTCAAATCTGGCAGAATATTCAAATTCGAGAATCACTGACATATCCTGGTATTAAAAGCCATCAGACTATGTGAGATCACTGGGAGAATGAGTACAGATAAGAGGAAGAACCCCCAAAGGAGGCAGAGAAGAAACAGTGAAGGAGGTAGAAAGAACGCTAATTGTCCTCAACTTTGCCAGGTAAAAATCATGTATTAGGTAAGTGTTAAATAATGCTGATATGTCAGATAAGGTAAGGACTGAGAA